GGACCTTGTAGGTCATCTAGTCCAACCCCTCCTTGCCCAAGCAGGAGACCCTACACCATTTCTGAAAGATGGCAGTCCAGTCTCTTCCTGAAAGCCTCCAGTGATAAAGCTCCTAAACTTCTGAATACAACTTCTATTTCCATCGGTCGATTGCTCTCACTGTCAGGAAATTTCTCCTTATTTCCAGGTTGAATCTCTCCTTGGTCAGTTTCCATCCATTATTACTGGTCTGGCCTTCAGCTCCCTTGGAAAACAGCTTGACTCCCTCTTCTTTGGGGCAGCCCCTGAGATATTGGAAGACTGCTGTCATGTCTTCCCTGGTCCTTCTTTTCATTAAACTAGACACACCCAGTTCCTGCAACCGTTCTTCATAAATTTTAGTCTCCAGTCCCCTCATCATCTTTGTTGCTCTTCTCTGCACTTTTTCTAGAGTCTCAACATTTTTTTTACAGTGTGGTGACCAAAACTGGATACTCTAGATGTGGCCTTACTAAGGCTTTATAGAGTGGCATTAGTACCTCCCTTGATCTTGATTGTATCCCTCTGTTAATGCAACTTAGGATTGCATTGGCTTTTTTGGGGTGCCGCTGCACACGGCTGGCTGGGTGAGAAGGTGGCAGCAGAGGTTCCTTCTCCCGTGGCATGCCCGCGTTCTCATATAAATTTTGAAGGGCTATTTCCATAAGCTCTCCCCCCCCCCCAGCCAGCCAGCCAGCATCCGTGTAGATGATGTGCAGTGTAAAACAGCATTAGGGAAAAGTTGGGGTGCACCCTTGCTGATCCGTACTCCGATATGTTGCAGGTGAATGAGGTCAACTTCGAGAACATGAGCAACGATGATGCCGTGCGGGTTTTACGGGAAATTGTCTCCAAGCCCGGGTGAGTAAATGAATGAGGGAATACTCTCCGAGCTGGGCAGCTGCTTTTCCTAGCGAAAAATAAAAATTTCGGGCTTGAGCAGGGAGGAAGCCAGTTCCTTCCGTTTGGCAAATTTGTCTGGATTCTGACAAATCTTTCTCTCTAACGCCTTTTACGAGCGCCTAAGATTTGAGAGAGCCAGTTTATATATTCATTTAGGGCATGCGGTGGCTCCTATGTACGGATGCGGTAGGGACGTGGTGGCTCGGGGGCTAAGACGCGGAGCTTGTCGATCAGAGAAGGTCGGCAGTTCGGCAGTTCGAATCCCTAAGCGCCACGTTAACAGAGGGAGCTCCCGTGACTTGTCCCAGCTTCTGCCAACCTAGCGGTTCGAAAGCAGGTTAAAAAATGCGAGTAGAAAAATAGGAGCCACCTTTGGTGGGAAGGGAACGGAGTTCTGTGAGCCTTCGGGAATTGAGTCATGCTGGCCACATGACCATGGAGACCACTTATCTTTTCTACCGGTTCGGTAGCAATGTGAGCATGCTCCACTTCTGCGCATGCGCAGAA